AAATGTAAGTGCAATGAAATTTTTGGAGATGTATTTCATGAATTTGTTTCAGATTTGACATATGAGGATCTTTGAGTTAGTGTAATCTGTTTCCTATATCAATAAATTTATCTTTACTTGCCTTGCAAACAAAATTTGTATTATGTCTCGAATTGTTATCTCTATTATTTTTTGCCTTCCTCTTCTCAGGTTTTGATATTGAATCTAAGTAACAATAAATAATTTTACAAATAAGTAACTGATCTAGTAAGCAAGAGAAGTTTTGAAAAACTATCGTAGCTCCATGGGCCATTCAACACCTTCAATACTAATGGTCATGGTATTTTTTTTCTTTTTTTTTTTCGTGTTATATGCTTTGAGTTGAGTTTATTTATTTATTTATTAGAATTAATTCAGAAGGATCTTTGGATATTGAAGTTTATCTTGATGATAATAAATAAATAATGCTAATGTTTTGAGTAAGAGAACTCTATCATGTTTTGAATTAATTCGGTGAATCAAGGTTTTCTCTCACATCGCATTGTTATTTGAAGTTTGGAATTATGGTAAGATATAAATTTTGTTGTTTCAAAAACCACTTTAAGCCTTTTAATAATGGGTGAACTACATTAAACCTCCATTTTCTATCTGTTTTTTTCACTAAATCCCCTTTTTCTATTTTTTTGTCAATAAACCCCCCTCAACTATTCGAGGGGTGATTTAACTAACGGAAGTTAGCTGAAAGGGAGCTGTTTGGACATTTAGTTTCTCATATATTTTTTAGATAAAAATGTCCTTGTACCTATTTTAATATTCCCTCACATATATAACTACTCCATTATCACTCTTAGCCGCATATCATCATTGCAACAATACGTACTCTTCCATCATTATAATATTATATATAATTTGTATCATAATATAATGGTATATATAATATGTACCATTAAATATTATTTATACTATATTTTCATTTCCATCAAGCCTTCAGACCAATATAAATCTAGGTTTTTTTCTTGAAATTTATCTACTATATATATATATATATATATATATATATATATTTGAGAATTATATTGTGCATTCATTTATTTGGTTTTTATTGATTTTCATTTTATATAGATTTATTAAAGGGACACTACGAGAAATAATGCCTAATTTTTTTCCTTTTTTATATTAATATTTATGCCTACATGTTTTCTTCTTCTTCTTTTTTGTTTTTTTTTTTTTATTTTATATTTCAATATCATTTTTTTCTATAAAAAAATAAAAAATTCCTTCCATGTGACTAATGTGAACTTGTCAGTCTAGTAAAATGTTAAAACAAAAAAAAAAAAAAAAAAAAAAACAATAGAAGTGTTAATTTTTTTTCCTAGTTGGGACTCACACACACTGCCTCCACTGAGGTGCGAACCCTTGACCTCCATTTGGAAAGTAGGAGCCTTGTACCGCTAAGCCACATGCCCATTGGTAGAAGTGTTAATTTGTGTGAATGATGTCGTTTAGGTTATTTAATAAATAAAAAAACAAGAAGTAAAGTAGATTTTCAAATAGGCTTTAATGGGTATTTAAGTTAATTTATATTTCAGTTCTCTTTCAACTAACTTCCGTTAGTTAAATCACCCCCCTTGAATAATTGAGGGGGGTTTTTTGGCCGAAAAATAGAAAAATGGGGTTTAATGAAAAACAAAGATAGAAAAGAGGGGTTTAATGTAGTTCACCCTTTAATAATTCAATTAATTTCTCATGGCTATGTCTGTTGAAGGATATAAAAATTTAAAATTAAAAAAAGTAAAGTAGTAGAGAAAGTATAAAAAAAAAAACCCTAAGTTTAAGCTTATAGTATAAATGGAAGTTAAGGTATTATAAAATAATGATGCATTAATGAGTTTATTGACCTTAATTCTTTTTTATAAAAAAAAGAAAAAAAAAAAGAAGGGTGGAGTTAAATTGTAGAAAATGGGAGTACCAATATCGCCACCCTAAACCACAAAGGATCGGCTCAAGTAATTAAGTTACTTAACCCCAGTGTCTCGTGAAAGTTGAAACATTAAAGTTGGACTCCAAAGAATTCCTTATTCTTCCCTAATAGGGAAAAGGGCTGCAACAATGATATGACAGAAATTAATGCAATGTTGACCAATGTTGTTCCTTCCATATATATATATAAGGGTATACAAAGTAAATGACCTTCCAAAAATTAGTTTATTATATGATTTTTTTTAGTTTTATATGATTTTTTTTAGTTTTATTTTTTTTTTTCCGGAAAATTAAAGCAACTGTATAAAAATGGAAATGTTATATTTCTATTTTTGAAAAAAGAAATGTTATATATATGTACCTACATAGATCAGAAATACTAAAGCACTCCATTTATTTTACCTGGTTCCTGCCTTTTTCAATTTTTGATTTTTTTTTTTTTTTTTTTTTTTTTCTTCTTTTAATTCAAAACTTTTAGTAATATGATTTAATCGTGAGATATTAGAAAAATCACTTTTCCTTTTAAGTTGAAGTGATTGGTATTTAGTACTAAATGCTTCTTTATGTAGCACTATTTTTAAATTCTTTACTTTGATTGTCTCATGGTTTATTTATTGGTTTTGAAATTTGAGATTTTAGTCCAAACTTCAGTGCAACTTTGCAGTCCCAGATCAGAAGTGCTTTAGAGATTGTTTTGGATGGCTGGAAGAAGGTGTATCTTGGACTACCAGTTAGTTACGTCAAGATCAAAGGTGGAAGCTTTCAGGTATTTAACTGAGAGGGTGGCTGCCAAGACAAGAACTATAAAGGGAGATTTGATGTCCAAGGCTGGTCGAGAAATTTTGATCTACAGTACTGTACTATCTTCACTTCCAGTCTACTCTCTCCTATGTTTCAAACTTCCTTCTACTCTTTGTGATGAAATCTCTAGCATGTTTGCTAATTTTATGTGGAGTGGGAAAGAGAAGTCTCGTAAAATAAATTGGATTAGTTGGCAAAGAATGTGTGATCCAAAGAAATATGGGGCCTAGGTTTTAGAAATGTTGAAGCTTTTAATTTGGCTTTACCTTCTAAGTTGGCATGGCGATTGGAAACAGAGGACTCTTCTTTATTCTACAAGATCTTTAAGGCAAAGTATTTTCATGATTCAAGCTTCATGGACTCATTTTGTGGTCAGAGAGCTTCCTGGGTTTGGAAAAGCATCTGCGCTGCGAAACTAGTGCTAGCAAAGGGACTAAGGTGGAGAGTGTCAAATGGATGGAAGGTCAATATATGGAAAGATAATTGGCTTCCTGAACCTCTTAATCAGGCTGTAATTACTGCAAAACGTGTTGGTAATTATAATTGGGTGGCTGAGTTAATTGATCATGAGTTTCAGAAGTGGAGAATTGAGTTGGTAAGACAATTGTTCAATCCTAGAGGTTGTAAGTTAATTTTGCAGACGCCTCTTTGTCAGTCTGGAGGTGATGATTGTAAAATTTGGGGCTTAACTAGTGATGGTCGATTTTCAGTAAAATCAGCATATAAAGTGGCCCTGCAATTGGGTAATAAGGGTCAAGACTATTCAAATTACATTAATCATTGTCAAGCAAGTTCCAGCTGCCAACCAAGTAGAGAGACCAATTGGAAGCAAATTTGGAGGTTACCAACTTTGAGGAAAATTCTGCTCTTCCTTTGGCAGTAGTGCTGCCATGAACGCCTTCCAGTATTGTCGAACCTTAAGAAGAGAGGTCTGGTTAATCAAACTTCTTGTGTAATTTGTGGAGAGGAAGAAGAAACAGTATGTCATGTGCTCTTTGATTGTCCTAGAGCTCGATTGGTTTCGAAACTTAGTCCCTTAAGGCTTCATTTCACAGGTAAGTGCGAAACATGGTATACCAAGTGGTGTGAAATGCTAAGCCTTCGGAAGGATTATTATGAGGTTAATCGTCTTATGAGTTTGGCATCTTTCTTGAGCTGGCAGATTTGGAAAAGAAGAAACAACTTGGTTTTTAATCAAATTGAATGGAATCCAGTGATGATTATGGAAAAAGCAGTGTTCTTCTTTAATGAATTCAGTGGTACTTTGTCAGAGGAAACCGCTAATGCATCATCCACTGGTAGTGGTAGTCATCATACTAATAGTTGGGTTAGTCCTGCTCTTGGTAGACATAAATTGAATACAGATGCTTCCTTCCATAAGCTAATTGGTTATAGTGGGGGTGCTTTGGTTCTCCGTAATCATTAAGGAGAAGCTGTCAAGGTGGCTACAGTGTTCTATCAAGATGTGAGCAGCGTAGAGGTTGCAGAGGCTTTAGTACACAGGGATGGTCTGAAACTTCTTGGTCAGTAGGGGTATTCTGAAACTTCTTGGTCAGTAGGGGTATTCGAATGTGGATGTTGAGTGTGATTGCCAATCAGTGGTTAACCTTACCCCTGCAGACCTTTTATGTTCAGTCATGCATTATTCAAGATATCCAGTATTTGATTCATCAAAACTTGGGGTTTAAGTTGGTTTGGTGCCCAAGATTATGCAATAGAGTGGCACATGAGATGGATAAATGGGCTCTTAGTCAAAGGATAGGTGATTTGCAATGGCAAGTGTAGGTGATTTGCAATGGGCTCTTAGGGTTTTAGGGACAGTTGAAACTATCCCTAAAAGCTCGAAAACCGTCTCTAAAAGTCAAATTGGTGCGTCACTAAAAGTAGCGTGACAAAAGAGTTTTAGGGACGGTCAAAGATAACCGTGACAAAAACTTTAGACTTTTAGGGACAGTACTTACTGTCCCAAATAACACCGTCCCTAAAACTTATTAGGGACGGTATAGACTGTCACTAATAAGGTATGATTAGGGTCCGTTTCAGGGACTGTCCATAATATGTATAGTATTAGGGATGGATGGACTGTCCCTAATACGTTTATTATTATTATTATTATTATTATTATTGTATTAGGGACGGGTAGACTATCCCTAATACATTAATATATATATTTTTTATGCTTAATTTGAGGGTTTAACCATTCCGAATACATGCAAAGCATAAACAAAATAGATCCACAATTACATTAAAAAAGATATTACTAGCCATAAATCAGAATAAATCCACAATATATATAGTCAAGATCCATAAAACCTCCAGTTTTCTAAACAATAACTAAAACCATCGGGTAGCACAAAAAATTGTTCCATCCTCTTCACGATCCATTATTCATTCTGTCCTAGAAGCCTCGTCACATGATGAGGAGGCACGTTGATGCTTTAGAGCCATGAAACCATGTCCGAATCCACGGCAATATCCTTTCCTTATGCCTAGTTAGTTTTGCACTATCTCAACATCATTTATGATTGGACTCTTACCATCAGAATTTTGAGAATTTTGTGCAACCTTTTCTTTCATTGCATCCTGCAAAATATTTAAGTGCGCTATCAAATTGAAAGAATATGGCATAGGAATAAATCATGTGCAAGCTAGAATATTAATCTCAATAGAGAGAAAAATATATATATATATATATACTTATTATATTCAAGATCTGATATTAGAAACTAGAAACAAAAATGTCATTTTCTCAATATTTCATCATTCTCCTCTCTCAAAGAAATTCCTAATACGAACCAGACCTTTAAATTTATAAAATATCTCACTTGCACAACAAAAAGGGCAGCACAGCTTCTTCTTTCAACTTTGGGATTTCTCACAAATACAAATACTCTTATTACTTTTAGAAATTCCTGGAGCATGTGAGGATGGGTATGCAGATCATTTAAATGCTTTTTCTTGTATGTTACTATATATGCAGATGACAGTTTACATGTCTCTGTTCCTGTTTTACCCAATTTAATTGCCTCTTGATTTGACATGTTCATAAAGAAACTTATCGACGAATTTGAAGTAACGGAAAGTAGGTATAAAAATTTGCTACAATGTGCTGCTGTCTGTTGATACTTTTGTACAACCAGCTAAAGTGCAGCTTCTATTAGACTACTTTATAGTTTTTTTGATTGTTAGTAAGTTCTTTTCAATTAAAAAATGACAATTCTTGAGAATACAAAGAATATTTTGTGAGCACTGCTACATACTATTCAAATTCAAGCAACGATACATCTCAGAACTCATTTAGAATGTGAGAGGGCTATCAGCCTATCACAAAAGAATTGCAGTTCATTTATAATTAGACAGTACCAATGTAAAGAATATGGATCACAATTTAATTGATTAAATTTATAAAATATCTAAGAGATAAGTATCTTCTCACAAATACAAATACTCTTATTACATACCCAACTAGGTTTTACTAATTTCATAAACAGAATGATAAATATAATATAAACATAAAAAGGGCCTGAATTTGGGATTTCTCCAACCTTCAAAAATGAGATTTCGAAACATAAAAAGGGCCTTAATTATGTTCAAAATACAGTACCCCTAGTTTAAAAGATGGCCATTACAACTACCATCCAAATTGTGGCATTATTCTAATATACATAAACAAAAAGTAAAGACAAAATAAAACCCTAGATAGGATGAAGGCACCATCAACATCAAGGCCATCATTTAAGTGACTGTCATTGCACAAGTGTGTGGACATTTTAAATTAATAATTTTGATTTTTTATAAAACAAAAGTAGGAAATGATATTAGTATTTAAAATTTGTTGAGTAGCTTCAGAGCAGTTTGAACATTTTAAAAATCAAATTCATACTCTTTTTGGGATATTTTCTGTATAATCATAGTTTAATTTTCAGACCCTCTTTTATGATCTCCCTTATCACATTAACACAACTTTTAACTTCTCTCAATGTGAACGTCCCTCTTTATCACATGGCCCCAACATTTCAACAAATTATTCCCATTATATTTTTATTTTTTTTAAACATGAAATGCAATGAATGAAAACCACACTTCATCAGCAACAATTCTCCACCTCCATTTGTGCACAAAAAATAAAGAATGGTCACTTAAAGGCATGTGACCCCTTATAAACTGCAAAAATGGTCACTTAAAGGCATGTGACCCCCTTTAAACCACAAAAATATTATGAGATCCAAATTTCATATTCCAACATGCTAGCTTATAGTTAACTTACAAAATTCCTCTTAGCTTTCTCGTATGCCCATCCACCTTATTCCTTAAAATGTGTGTCCTTGTACAAGCGAATGGCAGGATCCTCATCCCTTTCACCATCCTCATCCCTAGCAACATAATTACAAGAGAAATACACTTCTTCTTTAAAAAAAAAAAAATCAAGTGATTAACAAACAAAATAAGATTTAATGATTAGGAAACAAAATAAGAGTTAAGAGTCATATTGCATGATATGTGATACATTTTGTACTAAATATATATTTCAATGGCTTTTTAAAAATAAATTTTAAACTTTTCTTAACAATTATGCTATGATATTAATTTGGGAAAATCTACATTTTAATGTTTAAAACTAGTTTAAAATGTGTATTGAAGTATGCAAGATGTATTTGATATGTGATCGATGTGAGAATTATCGAATACCGGTTTTTAAAATGAATTTGTTAACAAACAAAGAAACATGTTTTAATTTGAGTATATGTTCATTGACTGTCATGGGTCAACTATCGCTAATGTCCATCTACCTTCGTATATTAATGTCCATCTGCCGTAGAACTCTCAATTATAGGTTGTTATTCTTAAACTAATTTAAAACTCAGATGGAATATTTTGAAGTAATGCCATAGCAACAATAATATAGAAAAAAAATTATAGATGGAAAAAAAAAATGCTAAACATCTCTCAATAGAACAAGAAAATTCATTAAATGTTGCAACGACGATATCATTGATTATTTAACATGCACCTTTAGATGATAAAAGTGGAAAACCAAAGAATTCCAAATCTGTTGTATATCATTATAGATTTAGTAAAAGAAAGTCCAATGGAAAAAAAAAAAAATAGAAGAAATTAAAAACTTTAATGGATGACCAAATGGTATGCAAAAGGGATGGTCACTACAGGATTTCATTTAAGCAGCAACTATTTGCTGGTTTAGTTGAGAACTTCCTATCATTTTCGGTCCTTTGCTTTAGAGGAAATTGATACTCATCAAATAAAGAAATCTAATATATAAAAGCAGGTTGTGCTTGGTTTAGTCCTAATACATTTTACATTTTCTTAACAGTAGATAATACCCTCATAGAAAAACTTTATTCATAAAAGTATCCTTATTCCTTTACTTATCAAAAAAAAAAAAAAAAAAAAAAAAAGTATCCTTATTCCTTACATCCCACTTACATGAATTGTGGTTTCCTATATTGACTCTCTTGCAACTATTCTATGATTCAACTTGGAAATAAGGTGAATACATGTTTTGCTCCTCTCTACTTCACTACAAACTCTATTCTACTTGAATAGAAATTCTACCAGTTGACCTACAAGAAGAGAATATGTTTTTCTTCTATGACAATAGACTTATTATAAAAAGATGTTATTCTACAACAGTTTATCGTTTACTTTCCCTAGATCATAAGATCTCCCAAGTAAATAGTTTCGATTTCTTGGTTTTCTCTGCAAAATTCTAAAAAAATTAGCTGCTCCTAGGATTTTTTTGTCCTTGTCTTGATCTTTGTTTCTAATTGTCTTAGAATATAATTCCTGCTTTATAATGTGAGATAAATTTCAGTAGTATGATATCTGTGATCTAAAAGTTATTTTCATGCTCACTTATATTGTCCGTCATTGCTATGATTAGTTCATTTCAGTGTTCTCCCTCATCGTCCAAGTGATTTTGATATGCTATCCAACTCAGAACAGTTGTAGTTTAACACTATCCTCCAAAAATTCATGTACAAACATGTTGTCCTCTATTGTGATTGATCCCTGCCATCTATGATTTCCACTAAATCATTATGGGTCATTGGAGATGCAATGATCTTGGTCATTCCTTTTTGAAGTTGGATAAAGCTTTTTTCTATATATGTGTGTGTATAAATAAAGAGGCCATTACGTAAGATAGTCTCCATTAATCAGGGGTGTTAGAACTGGAAGGGACAAAGCTATATTGTGACATAATTTTTGGCATTATTTTTATAAAGTGCTACTATGGGATTGCAACAACCAAAAAGTGGTAAAAAAAAAAAATTCAAAAAATGTAGGTCAAATATTAGATAGAAATTCTACAAAACTCATACCTAAATCAACCTAAAAAAATAATAATAATAAAAAATTAAAAATTAAAAATTAAATAAATAGTATAGAGAAGCAATCTAAGCTAGTCAATTGAGATATGAAGAAGAGAGTGAAACATACCTCTTGGCAAGTAGAAGAAATAGCAGAATGTTGAGTGATTAAATCTGTTGTATAATAATGAATGAGTAAATAAACAACATAATAAGAATGAAAATAGTACACAATTTCTTCATGTGTCCGTGAACTGATGAAAGAATTGCATATATATATATATATATATATATATATATATATATAAAGGATATATATACATATATATTTATATGTATATAAGGGGTAAATTTATAAAGATGGAAAGTTCAAACAAGCTGTATGATTTCCAACAGCGATTCAGACTCAGACGAAAAGCTTTTTCCAGATTTGTAGTTTACCCCTTCAATTGTTAGGCCTTTTGCAATTTCAAAACCCTAGAACATGTATTTACATAAAATAAAATAAAATAAAACCTAGGGTGAGGATCATGAAACCGAAGTGGGTTATATGAACGTCAAATCGAACATGGAGGTTCTCTGAAAATCGAAGAAAGAGGCTCAAACTTGAATAATCCCTAAAATTCTGCAAAAATAAAAATGTTGTACCTCAGGATCATCGTCTTCTGATTCGGTAAAGATTGAAGACGCTTTGAACGAGCTATTGAATTTGGTGAAAATCAAGCCCAAAGAATGTTTGAGAAGAACTGAAGAGGTTTGTAAATGATATAGGTCTTCATATTTCGTGACAGGGGAAGAGCTCGGCAACTTTTGAGAAGAACTGAAGATCGAGGTTTGCAAATGATATAGGTTTACTATTTTTTTTAGACAAAAATGACGTAGTTTGATGCCTCTTCCCTATTTTGTAAAATAAAATAATTTTATATATTTCGTTTTGACGCATACTAGAAGTTGGCGCTACTCTTTTTGCGGAATTGGGGACGATATTTAACAGACCGTGCCAAAAAATATCGTTTTTAGGGGCAGTTGTTAAGGTTTTGGTGACATATCAGAGTCCCTAAAAACTGGTATTAGGGACGGTAAAATTTGCCCGACCCTAATAAAAAGATCTTTAGAGACAGTTTTTTAGTGCGTCACTAAAGGACTATCCCTAATAGCCTAATTTCTTGTAGTAATAAAAAGGTACCATTTAACTACAACATCTCTGCTAACAAATCACATCCATAACGAAAATATGGTAATGTGGGAATTAAGTGTCACCCCCACTTCTTCATTACATGTTGCGGATTAAGTATCACCCCCTTTCTTCATTATTTTTATTTTTTATTATTATTATTTTTCAATTGGTAAGAAACATGCACATTCTACTCAAACACTTATTTTGTTCATTTGAGAACTAAAACCCTCAATATTTTACTTTGAAATGTAAGAAAGTACCATTAAACTAATGCCATTGATAAATTAAATCCATAAATTTAAAGCCATGATTTATAAATTCAATCATCAACCACATAAAAAGTTTACACTCATGGGATTTATAATAAAACTAAAATGTACTTTTTTTATTGTTTAATTAATTCATTTCTTCACCAATAACAATGGCACTTGGGTGGTTTACAAGTATACCATTTGATATTAGGAGGACAAACAAGTTCGCAATCACTGTCCGTTTTGCAGCCAAACTTGATGACACGTCTGTCTTCAGTGACACTAGTACACTGCGACCATGCTCCTTCAATTCCTACACACATGATATATAGATATATATATATATATACATTATATAAAAGTCTTGATTTTTTTGTATTGATGTGGCAAATATAAAGATAAATGTTTCATACTTGAGAGAGTTCATCTCTTATCAATCCATTTTTGTTTCCTTTTATACTCATATATATTATATATATATGTGTGTGTGTGAGTGCGTGCGCTTGTGTGTAGACAGTAGAGAGGGAGGGAGAAGAAAGAGAGTGACAAACCGAAGGGGCGGCTCAATGTAAATCGGGACCTTAGACGAAAATAAAAAGTGGCATTTTCATATCATAAAATACAATATATTAATTATTAAATAATAATTAATTAAAAATTATCCTTCTTGCTTTTTGAGGGCCTTTTCATATCATAATATACAATATATTAATTATTAAAAAAATAAAATAAAAATATAGAAAAAGAGAATATGAAAAGTTTCTCTACTTCCCCGTGGCTACATATTTATTATGGTGCAACTTACTAAAAAAATATTAAATATATATAGCGCTGGTGTAAAAAAAAAAAAAAATTATTTTAGAAGGTAAATTTTTTAGAATTAGTGTTCAATAAGAAAACAATTACAATATATCATAAATTAGGTAAATATAATATTTTGTGACCTTTTTATTGACTGAGGCCTTAGGCGATCGCCTAACTTGCCTAAGGCTCAAGTCGCCCCTGGCAATAACCAGGAGGATGAGAAAGAAAACCATCTTCAGAGAACCCTTCTCCATGTCTTTCAAGTGCCTGAATAAGAGCTAGAAACAAAGGATAGCAAAACTACTGTTTTTCTTTGCATGTCATAGTAGAGCTCCTATGGGCAGTATATATAGGAGAGGACATCATTGATATTGATATTTTTGAAATCATGTAATTAAGTATTGTCGGGCTTAAAATAAAATAAAGGGTAAAATGCAAAAAAAAAAACTCTAAACTATTAGGGAATGAGCAATTAATTCCCTAAACTACAAAAGTTGCAACTAACCTCCCAAATTATGCATTTTTGTTGCAAATGGCCCCCTCCGTCAATGTTTCGGTCGGATCTTACTGTTAAAGTCATCATGTGATGGTCACATGACATACACTATAATTTTATTACTATAATGCCCTCATGACCATCAAAAGATACTAATGCCCCTTATTTTAACTATTAAATCCACACTACTTTTGAACTCCCAAACACACCCTTATACTGTTGATCTTCCTCGCAACGTCGAATAGAGTTCTCATCTCCTCTCTCCCTTCCTCTGTTTATATAGAGCTCTCATCTCCTCTCTCCCTTCCTCTGTTTATATATATATATATATATATATATATATATATGCCTGTATGCATCCTCTGTGAAATTGATTATGTTTTTTTTTTTTTTTTTTTTAGACCACACACACACACACACACATATATATATAAACGCATACATATATGCAACTATCACTCAAAGCAAGTCAAATAGCCAAACCCATAATACAATCCATTCCTAAGGGGCAAATTTGTGTATGGATGTGGTGGAGCTGATGCAGCGGGGGCGGCGGCGGCGGGGTTGAGGTCGGAGGAGGTGGATTTGGTTACGGATGAAGCCAAACCCCATCTTCGAATCCAATTGCTGAACGACGCCACCACCGACGACGCAGATCGGCTTTGCCCGCACCACGCGAAGTCCGGTTTCGTACACTAACCTGTTTCCGACTCTTCAAATTTCCCAGTGGCGAATCCAGAATCACCATGGACGGCGGCGATTGTCCTGAAAACGAAGCCGAACATCAGGTGGTGTTTAGGTGCCTAAATTAAAAGGTATTTGGTGGGTTTGTGGGTGCGAATGAGTAGAGGTGGGAGAGAATGTGGTGGAGCGGTGGGCGAGGAAAGGCGATCCCGGTGAGTGGTTGTCGCAATGGCTGCGGCAAGCAGAGCAGGTGACTCAGATGAGGTTGTTGCGGGTATCGGCCACGAGGAGAAGGCGCTGGGGAGGGGTACCAAGGCTGAGATCGACAAAGTACCTGAGCCGGTGGAGGTGCCGGAGATGAAGGGGAGTTGGGGGGTTTTACGGCGGCGCAGTTCAGAGAAGAGGACGGAGAGGCGGTGGGCGTCGGAGGAGAAGGCTTCGGATGGGGAAGGAAGTAGGTTTCTGTGGAGGAGTGGGCTTCGAATGGGGAAGGATTGGTAGTGTTTGGGTGCTACGGGATTACGTGGATGCTAGGAGGAGAGAGAAAATGGAGAACTCAAAGGGAGAGTAGGGAAAGAGGAGACAACAAATCTTTTTTTTTTTTATGAAAGTATCAATGGCCACTCACAAAACGAACGTAGTCTTCAAGAAGGGTAAAATAGTCTTTTTAATATCTTTGGCCAAGTCACCTACGAATTCAACAAAACAATAATTTAGGGAGGTTTTTTGGCCATAAAATCATAATTTAGAGAAGTTTTTTGTAATTTAGGGAGTTAGTTGCAAAACTCCAATAGTTCAAAATTTTTTTTGCATCTTATTCTAAAATAAATTATGTAATTAAGATAAGTTTGGAATATAGCTGTGAAATGAAGATAAGAGAGAATTTAACGTAATTGTTGAGTGTACCTCCCATATATAAGGGCAAACAAAGTAAACGTTTCATTAGTTCTTTTCATAATTTGAAAAGAGAAATGATATTAGTGGCGACTTCAATATCCCGACTTAAAACTAAGAGATAAAATATGATAGTGTTATTATAAAATTTCAACATATTCAATTTTTCAATAATTTGTAATTTTTTTTAAATTCCTCTATTTGTTTTTATTTATAAATCATTAGTTTTGATCATTATGGTAATGAACAAATGCCTATCTAATTATATATAAGAGTTGCATTCTTAAGCATTTATGCGCCTTAGAGAGATGCAATGTGATATATATATATATATATATATATATATATATATATATATAACACATATAAAATTTGATATACACGGTGATTGAAATTTTAAAGGCCAACAAAGAAAGATGAAACTTAATAAATGTTATTATAATTTTCAAATAGTTAATCGCCTAATATTTTATAGAAGTGGACATTATTGATACTGATAATTTTTGAAATCATGTAATTAAGTAGTGTCAGGTTAAAAATAAAATAAAATAAATCCTATAATTAAGACAAGTTTGCAATATATATATAGGTAGGAAATGGAGAGACGAGAGACTTTAATGCAATTGTTGAGTGGACCTTTCATATACAAGGGCAAACAAAGTTTACCTTTCATTAGTTTATACTTTAAAAAATTATAATTAAGTGACTAAATTAAGTTAAACTAAAAAGGAAAATATTATACTTCATGAATTTTGATGGGTTTATTTTATCTTGAATTAGGTGGTCTGTTTATTTGACTACTTCGTGTATTTTAAAAGTAATTTTTTTAATATAAGAAACATATTAATATAGGAAAGAAAATAAAAATAGCAAACTCATAATAACTTGAATTCAATTCTGACCATTTTTGATTCGACACTCTTTCTATTAAATTTTTTTATAATTAAATAAGTGACCTCTTTCTTGTGAATAAGAATTCTAATTAATTTATATAATTCACTTCAAACTTTTTATAATTATATTTTTTTTTTGGTATTTTTTTTATTATAGTTAAATTTTAAATAAATATATACACATGATATATAATGAAAAATATTAGTAGAAAAAAAAGTAGAGATAGAGAGAAAGACCTAGTGTAATTGTTTCGTTCTTTCTTTTTTCTTTAATTGATAATTCCTTTCATTTGCTAAAATAGAAAGCACAAATGAATAAAAGAATAAAGTGTAGTATGTTTTAAAATAGAGGATATTAATGTCTTTTTAGTATGTTATCGCCACATCACAACTAAAAATTGGTTTACGGTGACTATAAAATCCTAAAAACATAAATAGAACCAAACTTAAAAACTAATTGCTCCACCATTCATGAATATTTTTTTTTCAAAATAATTAATTGTTTATTAAAAATAGTAAATAAGAACATGATTCAACGTTTCATCTGACAAAAATATGTACAGTATCAAAGGGCATACACCTGAAAACAAAACACTTAGGCCCACTAGAAACTTGTAAAAACCCAACATACAGGCCCTAAACAATGCCCAACAGGAGCCTAACAAGTCCCAAAGAACAAGCCTGATTCAGGCTC